TCAGAATATTGTACCTGGTTGGGAGTGCACAATGTAAACATGAAACATATGCCATTACCTATATTGTACTGTGGTACAATTATGGAGGCCCTTCATAATGCAGAGGTCAACTGCCTGCTCTGCCAATAGTTAGAAATGGCACTATAGTAAGCAGTGTTTAATAAACAGCTGTTTTTCTAAATTCTGCTGAGGTGAAATTCAGTGCAGTCATGTATCGTGATACGTATCATATTGTGGCCTCTGTATCGTGATACGTATCGTATCGTGACTTTGCTGGTGATACACAGCCCTAGTAATTAGCTGATCAAATATCTTACCACACTCTGGGGAGGCTCTTTGACTGTTTCCTCTGGGAGCTTCACCTTAGTTTTATCTATGCTTATTGGCACTGCCTTGGCCCAGGACATCACACTCGCCAACACAAGGCAGCTGGTGAGGAGCCCCTTTAAATAGGACATCTGGGAAAATCAGCACACATAGGCCTATAGATGAAACATTAGATGGAGATGACAGCTCTATCATATCACATAGCGATACTGACTGGTTATGTCGCAAACCCCAGTGAGCTGACTACCATTTTTGGGAATCCCATGTAAATCTGAAGATTCGAATCGAAATATTTTCGACATCACAATTCGAATAGGGGACTAGGTAGGCAGCTCAGTAGGGCTTGAGACACAGCCAATGATTGGCAGATCAGCTCTCCAATAAACCCGTTACTAAGGATAAACAGCATTAACAGGCAGTTAGCGGGTCACTATATTAAAGTGATACTTAAAATATACATGGTTTTGTATGGCAAGCCATATTGCATGACAGAAAAGTGGTTCGAAAGGATGGCTGATCTCGATACATAGAGGCTAATTTCATTAGCTTTCATTTGACAGTGAAGTCTATGCCAGACGTTATAGCCAAACTCGCTGGACATTTTATTAGGCAAGGCAAGGCAGTGAAAAGTTGAATTGTTGATGCTGTATTTGGGTTAAGGCGATTAAATAATGGCACTTACGGTGTCAGATTGGTTTCTATCGAGCTATCTCGAGTGTTTTCCGCTTCCTTTCATTACCGCTGGCTTCCTGACTGTCCGCTATCTTGAACTGATGATGATTCAGAACAGCTAGCGAGCTAACAGAGCAGAGCAGCAGGAGGAGACAGAGCTCGTCCACGTAGATCATTTACAGCGCTTGATTTGCATATTGGGGGTTCTTCTTCTTCTTCTTCCATTTTTTTGGCGTGTTACATCCTGTGTGCATATCGCCACCTACTTTTGCTGTTATGCAGTCATGGTTTATTTATTATCAATTTATTCCTTGTTTTTGCTTTTCCTGTTCTTACACACGTATATACACAAATATTCCTACTTAAATAATTATTCGATGCTCCATCCCATTCCTTCTCCCCAGGCTCCACCTGGCGCTGCGTGTTCAGCTCCTCCAGACTAAATCCGTGGTCTCCTAAAGATCCAGAATAGAATAGAGCATCCGCATTCTATATTTAAATCCTTTCACTTAACCCAGTAGTATAAATATATATGTATTTTATTAATATCCTGTATCCTTCTCTATCTCTGTTAAACTCATATCCTGACCTAATAAGTATTCCAAATCCTTATTTACCTTACCTTTTTTGTTTAAATATGATATTAATTCCTTTCTTTCTTCATCATACCTTGTACAATTATATATTACATGCTCCACTGTTTCTTTCTCCCCACAATTCCCACATAGACCAGTCTCATGTATTCCAGTTATGAACAGTGAAGCGTTCAATCCCGAGTGTCCAAGTCTCATCCTAGTTATAATAACCTCTTCTTTTCTATTTCTACCACTTACACTTCTTTTAGTATTAACCATTTTTTAAATATTATATAAATGCCTTCCCTTATTATCTGTATTCCATATGTCCTGCCATTCTTTAATAATATGTTCCTTAATGATAGTTTTAATTTCACCTTTACTTAAAGGAACATTCAAATCTATTACTTCTCTTTTTAAAGCATTTTTTGTTAATTCATCAGCAGATTCATTACCAGCTATTCCCACATGTGCTGGCACCCAGCAGAATCCAACTACCACTCCTTTTCTTTGTATACGCCATAATAATGTAAATATTTCACACATCAAATCTTCTCTAGAAGATTGCCGAGTAATCAATGATGTTAAAACAGAAGCAGAGTCAGAGCATACCACTACTCTGTCTGGTCTTACTTCCTCAGTTCCTCTACCCATGTTAGTCCTGTTATGATAGCTACCATTTCAACAGTATATATTGACAATTTAGATGTTAATCTTTTAGTTATGGATATTTTAAAATCTGGAATATATATTCCTACTCCTGTAAGCCCTGTTTTGGGGTCTTTAGATCCATCAGTATAAATGTGCATACTTGCATAAAATCTTTCCTGTATATACTTATTTACATTATATTTAATACTACCCATTTCCTCCCATTCTCTTTTCTTATCCAATATCTCTAGATCAATTTTAACATCAGGAATTATCCATGTTGGTACCTCTCCCCATACAGGTGACACACTACATTCTATATTTGTTATCTGATATTTCTCTGCTAACTGATTTATATTCCATCCATATCCTCTCCCTTTGTTATTTGAGTATTCCCAGCAATTATTTAAAATATCTTTAGCTATATGTTTTCCAGAATAACTCTTTAAAGACAACCAATATACCAAAGACAATTGAACTCTCCTCAAGCTCAATGGCATTTCATTTGCCTCTACTAATAACGCATTGATTGGTGTTGTTTTAGTTGCTCCTAAGCATATTCTAAGAGCTCTATACTGTATCCTATCTAGACTCCTTAATAATGTTTCTGATGCTGAACCATAAATCATGCATCCGTAATCTATTATAGATCTTATCAAAGCTTGATATATTGTTAACATTGATTCTTTTTCAGCACCCCATTCTTTTCCAGCTATTGCCCTCATCACATTTAAAATCCCCCTGCATTTTTTATCTATTTCCTGAACATGTTTTTTCCAGGTATATCTCCGATCTAACCAAATTCCTAGCTACTTAAAAACCTTTACTTGTTCTAAAGGTTTTCCATACAATAGTAGTTCAATATCTTTAGAAACTTATTTTTTCCTACTGACCAAC